ATAAGCTGATTAAAGATGGTGGAAATTTCACAGGAAGGTTTTCCCAAAGTTTTGAGGGTTTTCCTTGTTTGTTACATTAAAAATACAAATCTTGCCTATATTGTTTACCCCAGAGCTTGCTTCAGTGGCTGGAGATTGAGTGAAATGATGACAACACAAGAACCCAGGAAGTAAAATTTGATCCAATCAGATGTTATTTCATCCTCAGTTATTCAGAGATTTTAGTGACATAAGTGATCATGCCATCATGTAGTCTGACTTCTTACATAACAGAAACCATGGAATTTCACCCTGTAGTTCCTGTACTGTGTCCAATAATAATATGGTTGAATTACAACATAGTGTTTAGAAAGGCATCTGGTCTTGATTTTAGGAGCCTGGGTAAAATGTTTGTTCCTAATGCTCAGGTCATTCTAAAATGGGATGGGCACCTAATTCACTTAGACTTTTAATATTTTAGTTCTCTCTTTGAAAAATGCCTGCCATGATTGGTATGGAGCCATACCAACATACAACTAACTTATTGCCTAATGTTGCTTATAGTGATTTCTGTAGAGAGGGAAAACAACATGGACCTACTGAAGACCTTACTGTTTCTTTAGTATTGTAAGGATCTTCACCTCTCATTTATCTTTTCCAAGTGCATTTTTTATTAGAAGAGATTCATAATAATTTCTTGCAGTGTAATAAGAAAAATAAAAGAATTTTGAGTCAGAAAACCAGTGAAATACATCCTTAACATTTATGTATTAAAAATAATGTCAAAAAAAACAGATTAATAGAAGGTTCTAACTTTGCCACTGTAGTACTGGCACTTTGGAAAACCTGAGTACCAAAGCTTTTCAGCTGTGTACATGGCCAAGCAATTCTGAGGACTGTATCTACATCCTCAACAAGAAATTCATATGCTGTGATTGCTCTTTCTTTATGTAGCTTCTAATGATGCTTCTGCAGCCTTTGGTCAAAATACTCACAGAACTTTCCAGAGCTGTAGTTGACCATGAATACATGATCAACAAACAATATCTATGAAAACAGTATCTGAAAACTAAGGTTGGGAAAGGACAAAGTGATATGTGAAATGATCTAATACTCTTTCTTGGTCTGCATCATCCAATTGGAGGATTTCATGTTGAGAAGCATGAGTGCTAAAGAGTAATCCTTAAATTCTACTCAGGTAGGGGAAAACCTCTCCTTTCACCTTACCATCCAGTTGGGCAGTCATCAAGGTACTGTCATTATGAAGAGCCTCTTATCTGTAGGTGCAAAGAATGGGACAGAAGATGAGAGACACTGCCATCAACTTTACCATTGGTGAAGTCTTTTTTCCATTCCTGTTGCAGCTGATGATGAGTAGAAGTCACTGCTGGTGGGCTAACAACAGCACAGTGGGAGGAATGGCATCTGCTTGCAGGGATATCAGCTGGGGTGCGCTGCCACATAGTGCCTGCACCTAAACCTCACCTTCCAGATACCTCAAGGTGCCACTGAAGGCTTTAAACTAGAAGAGGTCAAATGTAACCTTTCTAGTGGAGCACAAGGGTCTCACAGAGGGATAGCAGCAAACACCTGTGTAGAGTGAGGGAGGTAGCAATGGCCAAAACACTGTCAGATTATTTGTTTGCAGAGTCAGAGCCCTCAAACAGTTTATGCCTTAATTCTCTTAAATTGCCCATATCTAGGACATTCAATCATGAGAACATCCATGTCAAAGAGAGAGAGATCCTTACAGCAAGCAGGAGTAAGAGACTTTAATTTCTTATTCAGTTAGAAAGTGACATGAAAAGAAATTTTAGAATGGTTGTAGAGGAGACATGCAGAGGAGGCATAAATGAGTTATAAATAGAAATTTTCAATATATAAAATAAGTTACTAAAATATTCCTACCCACAAACAAATATATTGTAACTATCCTAACTGCTTCAAAGTCAGATAAGAACTTCTGTTTTTCATTGATGGTTTTGAAGATTTAGCCAGTTATTTTCATGGAGAATTGCAATGTCACCATTTAATCAGAACAAATAAGAGATCACAGAACAGGCAATGTTTGTTGTTTGTTTCCTTCAGATCAGTAAGAATGCAACATGATAAATAGGAAAATTAGACTGCTTAAAATGTTAGCTCAATAAAGGACATCACACATTGTTTATGGATTGCAGTGAGGTTTGGCAATTATTTTTTTTAATTGTTCCTGCATTACTTGTGGGCATGTGACATAATTTATGCTGTTATGTTGTCAGGCTTCTGATCATGGGAAGGACTATTTGTTTAGACTGTGTAGCTCTTCACTTTAATTCGCTCTGGCTCCAGTGTGACATGTTAAAACTACTATCAATGGAAAATCCAAATTTCCCAGAAAGACTTAAAAGAGCACCCTCAGTGAACTGAAATTATCTCCTCTTAAAGCTAATTACCTTGGTATACTTAAGCAAGTAGCACTATAGGGAATCTGTTTCTTTAGACTTTCTTCTATTTCTTTAAATGCCTCAGGTCAGCATGAATAATTATTGTTTGCTTTTATTGCACTTTCTTTCATTATTCATCTGCATGCCTCTGGAAGGACACCAAACTAAAATAATCCAACAAATTAAGAGCAATTTTTTGAGACACACATTCATTATTAAAACACAAACAGAAAATATTTTCACCTTTCAGTTTATTTTATTAGAAAGAAAGCACTGTGAGGTTTCTATTTAATAGGAAGCTTTAAAGCATTAATGAGTCTCACAGGGAAGTTATTGCAAGTAAATATGGAATGTGTCCAAAATTAAATACATTCTACAATTATCTGTTACCTAAGGGCTGGATGTAGGAGAAATGTGCATCAAAAGTCACTTGCTGATGAAAGCAACACATGATTCTGCATTCTATGTCTTCTTCTTTCAAGACAGTCCACCTATCATGTGCAGTGTGGCAATTTTCCCAGTCCACAAGAGTGGGTTTGGAGCAGTTTCTTTATTTTGACTGACCCAAACATAACTTTGGCAATGGTTTTAAAGCCCCAGATACCAAGAATTTTATGACCTCACAGGAGCTGCCTTTTATAGGGGCTAACCTGGGAGAGGAAACTCTCATACTCCAAAGTCTTCAGTGTGGACTGGAGCAAATGGGCTGGCTGACGTGCTACCAAGGTGAGAACGGTTTGTGAGGAGAGACTTCAACACAGCTCACTATCACCAATATCCTACTTCCATTTATTTTTATATAAATTAGTCACTGCTTTCCCAGACTTATAATTAAGAGAGTTCTTTCCCTATTAGTGCTGTATGATTCAGCTCATCCTTTGTGCAACGCAGGCATGTACATATGGACTCCCCTACAATTATTCAGACTGGAGCTGTGTTCATCCCTCTCTGAATAGGTATTATTGAGACACTGCCAAATGCACTTTGTCACAAACACCTTGTACTGATTTTGTTTCAGCAGTTAAATGTAACAAATAGTTGAGACATGAAAATAAATAAGGAATTATACAAAAAAGTTAATTTATTTGAAATGAATGAACAATAGGTCAGTATTCCTACACCTTTTCTAATCCTGGATTATCCATGTGGAAAATAACCATTACTCTCCTTCATTGCCTGTTTAGTACAAGTTAAGGAAAAACAATGAAAAAAATTTAAAGCAAGTTTTTAGATACAGTCTTCTTTTTTATTGTCATGGAAACAAAGAAAAACACTGCCACAGCAAATAAAAAATCAAAGCACCTTCTGCAAGCAACCATAATTGCTCACATATCTGCTTGTCTGTTCATCACCCCAGTATCATTTGTCAAGCTCTTTGGACAAAGATTAATTTTGGGCCCAAAAAGCAGCAAAATGAAACCTCTAAATATCATGATAATTTTAGTAATCCTCCAAGTAATATTACTCTTTATCCTAGACTTTGCTTATGTAGTCTTCTCTTTTTCTACGCTAAGCTATTGATCATATTGTAAGGAGCTTGTCACGTTGAACATCTCTCCCCTAGATTAGCTAGTTTAGAAATACTTTCCTTTTAAAGGTCAGTATTCATGTTTAGAAGAAAGAGAAAAAATATTGATGTAAAAAGCCTGCTGTAAGTAAGACATCTAGAAGAAAAGGGATTTTTAAATCTATGCTATTTTCAAAAGTGAGCTAAAGATCAGCAGTCACAGAGCTGCGAATCTCTTGTTATTTTAGCCCAAACTACACAGGATGTTTTCTATGGCCAAAAAATCTCTTAGGGAAAAAACTCTTCATGAACTCCTGGCTACAAAGTCATCCTGCAAAAGGGAATAACACTGCTAATTGCATAGGAAAATAATTCTTCTTATCAGTATCCCCTTTTGGTTCTATTCTTGTCTTTCTGGTTTAGGGATAGGAATGACACTTCCTAATAAGCTGCATTTAGTATGCTTCTCAGTAACATGATAGTGGAGAAATGCATTGATTTGCTGTGCCTTCCATAATGAAATCTATCTAGTTTTTATCTTTATATAACAATGATAATGAGAATAATTTGCTTTAAACCCTTGTGACAATCCCTCTATTTTATCCAATAGCATATAATGATGAGCTTACCAGTTTATGAAATATTTTCTTTTCAGATGGATAATAGTCATCTCTCTGAACAGAATCAGAAAAACTATTTACATGGATGAGAATCAAAACTACTTGAACCATAAGTTTAGAAAACAAAAAAATGTAGACTTCTTCAAAGGCATAGTCCAGATGTGAGACGTACAAGCTAAAATGCTCCCTGCAGCAGACAAGTCTAAATTCTTGTGTGTAACAAGTGCACATTAATGCTTCCAGGAACCAGTTTGGTGTTTTTGGTTTTGGTTTGGGTTGCATTAGGGTTTTTTGATATTATGTATTAATCAGCTAAATTCTGTAGCAAAATTTTTAAAAATCCTGCAGCAAAAGCAGATTTCTTACCGTAAAAAAGCAACCAAAGAAAAATGGACTAGGGTAGACTAGGGAGTAGAGTAAGTTATTTATTTGAATGCAGTTTGGGTTTAGCAGTTTAATTTTTTATCAATTTTTTTTAATTTGTGGTACACACACAAGCATTCTACATGTACATATTTGAGCAACATAGCATGTGTTCTAGTGGTCAGCATGAAGGTAAGCTTAATATGTAATATTGTAAAAATTAACTAGGATATTAAGTTACTAAAAGTTATTGGAAATTAGGATCCAGTGCAGTTCAGTGCACTAGTGTTGAGGTTAAAGACATGAGGAATCAAATATATCCAGATGTACAAATATTCAACAGGACTCTGAAGATTTATTCCTTTTTCTTTCTTTTTAAACAAAATCTGAAGCATCCCGCATATATTTTTGGGTCTTTTGAAAATGCTTTCCCAAGTATTTAGACACCATGGTGGGAAGTTTTTTTCAACCAAAAAAGAGCAAAGAGCAGATAGAACTTCAAATCTATAGTAAAGCAGCAGCAAGATATAGCTGGTGACATCTGAAAGTGACAGGACTGCTGATTGTCATCAAGCAAGTTGCCTAAATTTTAAAGAGAACAGAAAACCTGTTAATTCCTTTATTTTGGAGGGGGTTGTGACATTAACATTTTCTTGCATATTTTGACATCCTGATTTGCAGCTTGGACATGCCTGAGCTAAAGACCTTAGCAACTTTGGGAAAGACATTTACACGCAATTCAAACAGGGCGAGTTCACAAAAAAGTTGGTGTCTTGCTTTGACGTAATGAGTTCATGCCTGACTTTGTGATTCTAAAGGTCCTTAGATGGGAGTGAAAAAATAACAGACATTCTGGGGTAATCTTTAGTTATTCTTTGACTGACCTCTTGGAGAATGACTGGATTTCTATTGTGTGGATGGACATTTGTGGTTGGAGCTGAAGGAGAGGCAGGCTTCCAGAAATGGGAAAGTCTGAGAACAGCTGGAATATGGCTCTACAGATGCTGTGACAGGATCCGGAAATATCTGTGGTATGACAGAAATGGTGGAGGAGTCATGAGATTATATTATGCACAATTATTACAGCTCTTTTTTTCTGCACCTCACTTTAATTTCTTGATGAAACAGAGCTTGGGGATCCATTGTTTTACAGTATTTCAAAAGGTAAAATACAGGATTAAACCTCAAGTTTACCATAAAGAAATCTCTGAAAAAAGGTCTTGCAGTCAACACAGGAAACATTTTAAAATATAAACTTTGTAAGTCCTATTTAAAATAACTTTAATTAGAACATTCTGGAGACTAGATTTACTAGTGTCCATTCTTCAAAATGTTGTACTGATGTTCAATTGTTTGAATTTAAATGTATAGTTGAGCACAAGGAACACATTCCCATATGCTTAATTGGCATCGTTCTGTCCAGCTAATTCAGGTTTCTCATTCTCCAGTCTCATGGGCAATCACAGCATGCATCATCTGGCTTCCTCCAAGCTTGGAAAAAACCCAGCAGCTTCACAGTCCTTTACAAGTTCTTCTGATCCCATTCAACAAGAAGTGCTGAGACCACCAAAGCCAGCAGCATTTCAGCCCATGTGCCAATAGCTGTGTCAGTGACCAGTGAGACCAAACCTCTGTAGGCCCAGCAGCATCAGTGCTACAAGATACTGCTTTAAGCTTTCTTCAACAGAGGCTTCTGCTACAATGATAGGTGAGAAAGGCCAACTGCTAGCTCTGTCCACCTATATTTGTAAGTTGTCCCTACTATAATTAACTCACGTGCCCAAAATAATGAGGTATTTCCTGCTGGGCAAATGTCCTTTACTGAGGTCTCTAATAACCTTTCACCCTGTGTTCCACAATGCTCTATCCAACTTCCCTGTGCTTTTCAGCCACTGTCCTGCCCTGCTGCAATATAGAAACTCAGAATTTCTAGTCTACATCTGAAATTCTCACTCTCTACTTTTTCTTTCTCTGGGTTGAACAAATTCAGGATAAAGCCTGCGAATTACATGAATCTCAGTTCATTAGTCTTACCCTCTTCTCAATATTTACTGCTTTTTCATTATCTCACTTAAGCTGGTGATTTAACAATTATTAGATTTTCTCAGAAGCTGTGTTGACAATCATTGAAATCCTCATTATTCATGAAAGAAGACATCAATGTTTCAGTCTATTCAGGCTATCTAGTCAGATTTGGAGGTTTCTGCTAAAATGGAGAAGATTTACTTTTGGCTGGGTCCTTTGTCTAGGCTTGTGTCAAATTTATTTTTGATCTTTGACACGGGGATATTAATCTGAAGTTACTCAGTTATTTCTAATACCTATAAAAATCTAATTATTTACAGAACTTTTGTTCTATTAGTGAAAAAACAAGGAATTAATTACCCATTCAAAGAAAAAAATATAAAAGGTGTGCTGCTGAAGTGTGTAAATGCCACAACTTGATGGAAATTTACTTTGGTAGGTGTTATACAAACTCCCAACAAGTCAATTGTGTTGCTGTAAGACGCTGCCTAAGTTCTCATTAAAAGATTTGGCCTTGGTCTCTGAGGTCAGGCCCCAAGAGGCTATTTGATTCCAAATGCAGATGTAGCCTAACTTGTGTTTACTCACTACTCACACCCTTTTCCAGGAAAAGAAATCTGATTTCAGAATTTTCAACATCTAAAAAGGACGCTTCCATGAATACAACAAAGAGGGGGATGAGTGTGATGCACACTGTTAGGAGCAGTGCCTGTGTTAAGGAGACAGCTTTACACCTTGGCAGCCCTTAGGTCTGCTGACACCACTGCCCAAACTTGAGTCACATGTTACCATACACCTGACCAACACAAGCTTTTGGAAAAGTCTATGGTACAGAAGTGAGCTGGGAGGTAGCATGGTGCTGAGACACAAGGAAATGATTGGAAATGGTTTGGAAGAGGCAGCTGTATAGTGTAGGCTTTGAACATGAACTGATTAATGCCCAAGTGAAAGAGATTAAAGACAACATATAAACAACCCAACTTGGACCAGGGGAATGATTTTCATGATGTTTTTCCAGCAGAACCCAGTGTCTTTCTACAGCAAATTCTGCAGACTTACACTTCTGGCTCATTTTTTCCTGGTCACTAGGCTATACAACTATGCTTGTGGAACTATTCCTGGTTAATCCTATGCTATGGTACAGCCACTCCTTTCTGTCTGGAAATGAAAGAACATTTCCATGAGCTGCAGATGCCAAAACATGAGGCAGGAAAGGGTTACTTTAAAAATGGATGAGTGCACTCTGGGTTTAAATTAGGCCTACTAGAAGTGGGCAGAGGATTTTCCTAGCTCTCATAGACAACTTTTATCTCAGCCCATTTATGCTCTGAAGATACCTTGATAAAAGTTCAGACCTGCCCTTCTAATAGCAGTATTGGTTTGGTCTTCTAAGACTGAACTCTATAATGCAGAATTCTCACAAATGCCTAAAGGTATTAGGCAGCTTGAGAAGGAGAAGGACTATGAGTCAGGCTGGGTGTTCAGAGGAATCCACTACATTTTTCATTGGAAAAAAATTAATAAATCCTGCCTTAGAGGGTTTCTGCAGCTCTCAAGCAAGAAGTGCAGCACTGCTGCTCTGTCTTGTGAACATAAGTGTCCTTCTATTCCACCCTCAGATGCTGGTGGTCAGCTGGGCCATGTCCTGTTCTCAGAATTTGGCCAAGCATAAATATTTACTGGAATTTCTGTTATAAGTAAAAGGTCAGCACAAGAGAACAGACTATGTATCAGTCCTTTTTCCTTCAGAATTAAAGCTCCTTTGTTAGTTTGCAAGAACCTGACCGCGTAAGATTTACTTTCCCTATCTTCAAAGCATGGCCATTTGGCACATAGGAATGGCTCTGTGAGTTCTCCAGCTGACTAATCTCAAAAAAACTCTGCTAATTTACTCAAGGCCTGTGTCTGACCAAACCACAACAAATTGTGCCCCACATACCTTAAGAAAGAGAGGGGAGATCTCTTAAATAGAGGAGAGGAAATGATATTTTGTCATCTGTAAGCATCAACAGAAGCCTCTTCACTGAAACTGGAGTTTTCAGTCAGCATTGTATCAGCAGCTGGAACTAACTCCACTCAGAATGCTGATCTCAAATTGCAACTGCATCGTAGCAAACACTAGAAATCAGGAAGAGGCTGTTAGGGAAATGACCTCCTCTTACCTGCCAGCTGTATAAGAGCACATGCTGTACCTGCACCATCTGTGGATACAGCTTCACTGTAATTTAAAGTGTAAAAGCCATCATATTTTTCTGTCAGGATTCAGGACTCCCAAGTGTACACTAATATGTAAAACACTTTGTTGGTATAAGGTCCAATTGCATGTGCACATATGTCAGCCTTTACTGAGGCTCACTAAGTCATTGTCAGGCAGATGTTGTTTTGCCAGGTGTGCTTTTGTAGAACTTACATCTGGATAACTTTCCCAGAGAGGATTTTTAATTTGGAGATGGGCAAACTCAAAAAGTTTAGAGGTTCAATTAAATAAGCATCTAAAAACCTGGATGATTATCTAAACCAAATCAAGATCCCTAAAATAAGAGTATAGGCCTTACAGAATAGACAAAAATTGTATTATTTCCCTGCCATGATGACTTGTTAAATTTGCAGATTATTTTAAGTCACATTTTTGCAAACTACAAAGTTTTGTTTAAAAACTTTGCAACTTTTTAATGCAACTTTTATGCAACTTTTGTTGCACAAGGCTTCAGGTCAGTTTTATTTTCGCCAAATTGTTTTCCTAGTCCCTACTTTAAAACCTTGTGAACCATATTGCATTCCATTTAACCTAGGTGGAAATTTTCCCATTATTTTGAATAAAAAAAGGGAAGCTTTCAGCTATGCATCTTATGAAGTATATCTAATGCAAAAAGCAGAAACTCTGTATAGAAATAAGGCTTTAACTTGCCTTTTATGTTTTGATGGGAGAAAGAGGATATTGCTACCAATACCAGTGGTTCAAAAGTCACTTTTCTGTTTCATTGTGAGAGAGCTTTATACTTGTAATTTGGGGAAGTTTAATAAAATGCCTCACTTTTCTGCTGTAGAAAACTAACTAACCTAAAATGAGAAGCAACTAAGTATTAGATAGACTTGGGCAGTTTGGAAGGCTGGATGCTAATAAACATAATTCTTCCCTTTTACATATAAAACATTTTAAAGCTCTTGACAGGCAATAATAAAAGTTTGACCTGATGACTGGATTTGAGGGAAGAATTAGTAATAGATAATTCATTAAAAAGGCATGGCTTATTTCCTCACCTAGAAATATTCCTCCAGAGGAAACAAAAATTAGTGGTGGAATTTTCTGTCAAGGCTAACAGAAAATTCTTTTCAAGTCAACGAAATTACTCCAAATAATTCTCTCCACTTACTGATTATTTATAATTCTGTGGTGATAACGTCTGATAATATTACTTCAACATTAGTCATTTAGCAACTTCTTTTAAAGAAGTCCAGCATTTTTTCTGTGAAATATTTTTCTTGTATAAATAAAAAAAGTTTGTCTGATGGAAGATATATTCGTTAAAAATATGTGAGAATTTCACAGAAAAAACATTCTAATTCACAGAATTGCTTATTGTGAAATGCTACCAAATATTTCCAGAATAATTTTGTAGAATGAAAGCAATTGAACTGCAACCATTGCTAATTAATCAATTGGTTTGTTTGGGATATGTAAAAATACAATGACTTCTACTGATATAAAGTCATTAGAAGAAAACAATCTGCAAACAACATGAATGTGCAAATAGGAATTGCACAGTTATCTGTACTTTTGACTACATTTGTACTTTTACAGTAGGGTATAAACACATTTTTGGAGAGCCTTTATTTTGCTGCACAAGTTCTCAAAGTTCTTAATGCTACTGCCTTTCAGACTGCGTATAGATGAACACGAACTCTGCAGACTCTTCTCATCTGACAGATTTGCTATATTATATATTTCATTATTCAGTACATTAATGCTGAAAAAAGTGTGAAATGATGGAATCACAGAATTATATAAGTTGGAAAAGACCTCCGAGATCATTGTGTCCAGTCTCTGATTGATCACCACACTGTTAACTAGACCACGGCACTAAGTGTAATTTTCAGTCATTTATTGAACTTTTCCAGGGATGGTGCCTCTACCACCTCTCTGAAAAGATTGTTCCAATGTTTAACAACCTTTTCCATTAAGAAATTCTACTTGCTGTCCAACCTGAACCTGCTCTGCTGCAGCTTGAGGCTATATCCTCTCGTCCTGCCACTTTTTGCATGGGGGAAGGATCCAGCTCCCACCTGACTACAGCCTCCTTTCAGGTGATTGTAGAGGGTGATAAAGCTCCTCAGAGCCTCCTTTTCTCAGGCTAAACAACCCCTGCTCCCTCAGCTGCTCCTCATAAGACCCTTCTCCAGCTTCATTGCCCTTCTCTGGACTCACTCCAGCTCCTCAATGTCTTTTTTGCAGAGACAGGCCCAGAGCTGGAGCCAGGATTCGAGGTGTGGCCTCATCAGTCGTACACACTGGCTCAAGTTCAACAGCACCCCCAAGTTTAATCAGCACCCCCAAGTCCCCTTCCCCTGGGGAGCTTTCCAGCTACCTCCCCTAGTCTGTAGTGCTGCATGGGGTTGTTGTTACTGAATATATGAGGCTAAATCAGAAAAGACTGAAGGGCTGTTGGAATAGATATTAAAATTCCAAGAACCACCTTGCTTTCAGATGAGGATATATGTTAAAAAGCAAGTAAGGTACCATGTTATCTGAGATACATCAGAGATGAGTCCTATTGGTTGGTCTTCATCTAGCAAGGTGTTTTTAGGGGTTCTGTTTGCAAGTTAATTGGCTTACATTTATTCATGCATTGTTTATACTAAAAGCAGACTTCTGTTAAGCATCCCAGGTAGATCTCCTCAAGCTTTTTAAAGGTGATTACTATTAAAGCCTCATGCAAGTGGTTAACAGAAATACCTTTTCCTCTCCTGAATGTCACACTTCTGATCACTCTGCCAGGACTCCAATTCCTCTCTTGTAGAAATTCTGTGAAACGAAGTGCATAAGAAGGTGAAGAGGAGGTTTCAGCAATTAGTACACAGAAACATCTAAGAACTGTTCTGCAGCCAATAAATACCCTGAATAAATAAAAAAATTTATAAGATTTTTTTTAATATTATAAACTAAATTACTTTAGGATAGGCTTTAAGATAGCTTAAATACAATAAAACTAAGATAAAAAATTTGTAAACATGTATTTAACTTTTCAGTTGACCAGGTGTGTATTGCAAATTTATGATAAATTCCAAACCATGAAAGTATCAAAGTGTTTTGTTGGTTATTTCAGCCAATCTTTATTCTACTGTGGTAATTCATGATTAGTCAGGATATGAGGTTTGGGATTATGTTAAATATGGAAAAATAACTAAATTTTAAAAAATACATATATGTATATACATAAACCCATATTTGTTATGATAGGTGCAGGACTGACAGTTGTATTAAAAAGCATGCTTGCATTCCACTGGAAAAAAATGCACCAATTGTATTTGCTTCCTTTACAAAATAAAATATTGTTTGTTCTTTTCAGAGCTGGCCTTATTTTTACATGAAAAGTGAATTTTAAGATAAGGCTATATTTTCAAACATAAAAGGATTTTCTTTATCTCACTTCCTGACACTCTGCTTTAGCTGCTTTTTCTTTAAAATAATCATTTGACCTTTCAAATTGCTAGAACTGGAGATAAAACATCACAGAGCATTTGGAGATGACAGACGACTGATCAAATAATTTTCAGTTGCTCTATCTGTATCTTAAAGCAGTGGGTTGCAAAATCCAGCTACGTTTGAACAGCATCAATCTGGCTTTCTGTCATTTATTTACAAAATTTCTTTCATGGTCACAGAAATCCATGGTAAAACTGACCTGTAAAAGAGTATCTTTTTCCAGATTGTTATGAGAAAAAAATAAACAAAACATGGGAACTTATCTCATTATATTGGAAATTAGCTCAACCTCAAAAGAGTGTGCACCTGCTAAAATAATTGTCTCTTTCTGGTATTTTCCATGTAATACTCCTTCACTCTGCAATGCAGTGTAAGTAAATCAGCTATCTTTTAAGTAGACCTGGTGGCAATTAAACTTGATTAATAGCTGCTGTGATTACAAGGTATTAGTCTTTTCTTCTTTCAACCTTGCTATTAATATGAATTTTCAACCCAAGCATAATTTTGTGAAATGTTATGGAATCTGAAGACAGACATAAGATGTTTAAGAGGACAAAATAAGATTATAGGCCATAGATATCCTTTTAAAAAGTTGAATAAAAATGAATTGAGGTCCAGGAAGATCAGACAGAGGAGCTCCATCTTTTTTACCAGACCTGGGGTTGAGTCTGTGTCATGCAGTGATAAATTTGATCAGATATGCTGGCAGTGTGGCCAAGATGATTCACGTCTTCTTCTTGTGACAGATCCCTACAATTTATGTTACATGCAAAATTTTGGTCCAGATAAACTTAACCAAAAAACGCAGCCCAACAGTTTAATCATGCCAGATATGTGCAATGTGTGCTAAAAAGCACTGCAAAAAGAGCATGGACCACTAGAGGTCTGAGCATGAAGTCAGATGTGTGTTATTGTCTACCCACACAACCTCCAAAGAAGTTTAAAGGAAACACCTTGAGACTTGTGTGGATTTTTATTAACCCTGCACTGTGAATTGATGGGGTGCTGGGGAAAAACAAACATAGGCAGAGAAAACATGAGGCCTGCCCTGCACAAGAGCTCTTTATTGACAGTTTATGACATAGGCTTGGAGTGGCCCAATATTGTTCCTACGACCTTTGCCTCCCAAAACTCACAGGCATTTTGAGACTTTGTTCACCCCTTGAGGGCCTGCTGGCCTTGTCACTGCAACTTTCTTCTCAGTGCTGTTCTGAACATTAATCATGACCTCTGGAGACAATTACAAGTGCTTCTTGCCATCCCTTGACCTAAATTTCTGCCAGCTTCATTCGCCTAATCTGCACACAGACCTAGTTCAGGATTGTGACAAATTACACAGGACAGATTAGTAGCGGGGTCTACAGTTAACTTTGAGCTGGCACCCAAATTCCAAGCCCATGCTGGCCCCAATTCAAAATAGGTTGCAAGAGAGGAAAGGACACGCAGCCTATTTTTTAGGGTTTTTTTGGCCTTCCCCAGTGTAAGGAAAATGTTAGCTTGCTATTAAAAAACTAAATTAAGAATGGCTAATCAGTTAACTGCCTATAGATATATATATTTTAGTAAAGAAAAAATTAGTACAGTTTGGTTTGTTACCTATATGAGTATTAAATTTGATAGGTTATAAAAGGTGTCTCCCTTGATCCCAGTACACCTTTCTGTATTATGCTCTGATAAATTTTTTTTGCAATCACCTTCTTCTCAATTTTCTCCATATCTTTAAAAAAACTGTTAAGAAAGTGGACACAGAACAAAAGATTTTGGCTAAATATTCTAAAGCCAAGAGCAGGCAAAATGTAAAAGATCAAGATGAAAATTAAACTTGCTTGAAAAGAAATCCAACATTGCTACCAGACTTCATGTTATCTAACAGGACTCATTAAAACAAAATGGAACAGAGCAGTAAAATAGATAATAAGTACACACTGAGCTCTAGGGCCAATTTTTCTGAGTGATTGAGTTCTTCGAGAGCTTGCAGAGATTAAAAGCCTGCAATCTATTTTCCTTACCACTGTTGTGTCTTGCCAAATCTGTCTTGAGAACTAGAACAGGAAATACCCTCCCAGCAGCTGTATCTGTAGATTTCTCAACTTGGGCTTTTACTCACAAACAGTATTCTGCATTTCTGGGGCATGGCCACATTTTTGCTTCTATTCAAAAAGTTCTCAAATACATCACTTTGGCAATGGATGTTAAATACCTGTCATTCAAAAGAGCCAATAAATTGGAAAATTTCAACTAGGCTGTTAAAATATGACAGCCAAGAAAGGACAGCCAGCAGAAAACAAGATCTTTTGAAGTATCAATTCAAGCGTAATAATAAATCTGTACAAATTGTAGTGTTCTTGTTCCCTTTTTTTCCTTGCCTTCAGCTTCCACATTACAATATTTGCAATACAATAATTTTTTTTGATTGGTAAGTATTTATATGTTTGTTAGAACAAGTAAAAATCACCTGTCAGACAATTCTGTGACATAAGCAATTACAAGAAAATAGTACTACGTACACTATTTATAGTCCCTATAGGACACTTGGCTCCCAAGAGTGGGACACCTTAAAATCCTCTGAAAATGAAGATAAATTCAGAATCTGCTTTTTTTTTTTTTTTAATTTAGGGATTGGCTAAGAAATTATTTCTATATGTACAGTCACACCAAATAGTTGCTTCATTAATATGTCAAATTTCTCCACAAACCACAAACTTTTTTTGGCATTTGTTACATTCTTTGGTAAGGAGTTCTCAGCTGATCTCATCTGCACTAAGAACTTCTTCTGTGTTTGCTTTGATGATCCTTAGTTGCAATATTCAGAGAAATAACAAATAATTTAATGTCTTTTTAACTTCTCCATGCTAGTCTCAAGCTTATTGGTCTCTTTCATGTTCTGCCTCCTCCATTCTATTTCTCTCCCTAAATGCTTTTTTTTTTTTTTTCAAAGCAGGTCTTTCTTTGCACCGATACAATCCTGTCCCCACTTCTCTGAATATTTTCCAGATCTACTTTATTTAGTTTTGAAATTCAAGGTGTCAGCTGGATTTAAACTGTTGTACAATGAAGTAGAGGTTGAGATGATCCGTGCAGAATCTGAAATATGGGAAAACCATACTACAATGCCAAGATATTCCAAAGAACTAGAAGTAGTAATGTTGAAAACCAAGTGTTGACTCCAGGATTTCACTTTGGGCTTTGTTGCTGGGTTTTTTTAAACCTTTATTTGCATGGTTCCTTTCTTTGGAGGTTCAAAGTATCAAATTTAAAGAACTTCAAAATGCCAGTAAGTAACTATGAACCATTCTGATTTGGAGTTTGAGAACCTGCATATTGTAATGGAGTCTGTGCTTATGACTAAAAGTCTGCAAAAAAACCTTTCCGCTGATCATATAAGAAAATTATATAACACTCAAGAAACTTCCACAAAACTTCCATAGCAGTTCATTTCTTTTTCTCTCTCTCCCTGATCATGCCATCAGCTTCTGAGTGGCATGGTAAAGCAAAATCCAGCACCAGCCCCAGCTGCTCTTTTTATAAGATGGCAATCAAGGAGTGGCTCAGCTGTGCCAAAGAGTTCCAGAAACTCATAGATGCAGATGCTTTGATTTTCATGCAATTTAAAACACAAGAAAAACCTTGCTTGGGGATTAGCCATGCTCTCCAGACTGCTTAATTCTACTATTGCTACTTTCTACTGCCTGCATACCTCAAAGGCAGCAAATCAATCTTATGTGTGAGCAGATAATGGCTGAGAGTCTACCAAAAAAATAAAAGGAGCTTTCCAGAGCAGCCTGTGGGAAGAAACAAAAGCTTCTATACAGGAAGACAGAAACAGCAGGCAACAAAGCAACAGCGGATGTGGGGTAAAGAGGAAGCAATATAAAAGTGGATTTGGAAACATGGAAAAAATGCAAGAACCCAGAGAACAGAGCAGGAAGACTCAATGGAAAACAGGAAAAATTTTATAAGTAAAGGGATCCAGAGTCAAGATGCCAGAAGAACAAGCAACTTGGCCACCAGAATAAAAAATGGGAGGAGATGAACATCCTACTTCTGTAAAAGATGGAAACTGGGGTGTCCTTGACCCACAGGATTCTTGGCATACATGCAGGAGTTACTGAAAGGAAAAGCTGGTGAAGGGCACACACCAGGCACAGAGATGTGAACTCTGATGAATGGCAGGGAACCTGGGCAAGGTTGGCTTCTCAAGCTGCAGAATAAATGCACAATTCCTGTGCCATCCCTGTCTCATGAAGTCCTAGAACTTTCTCCTAATCACTACAGAGGTGAATACATAAATTGTTTTGGGAGGGATGGAAGGTGACACA